GCACCAAGCGAATTTTCAAAGTAGGTAAATCGTCAGTTGGCTTAAGCTTGCGCTTGATGTATGCAAAAACCTTGTTGGGTGCCTCCTTCGCATTTGCCGACAAGCGTGTTTCATAAGCCCCACGCTTCTGTAGTTTCATTGAATTGAAACAGTTTCTATGTGTCTTGTAAGCTGTGTAATCTTCGGCATTATGAGTTTGTTTGAACCTCTTCCACAATTCTGCACGTCGCCTCGACTTGACAACATATTCGCTATCCATCCATGGCGGCCTCTTCCAACATTTTATTGGTGTTAAAGGAGCAACCTAATCTAGTAACTGAACAACTTTTTACTTCAGCACCTCCCAACACACTTCAACACCGTCATTTAAAGTTAATGAACGGTCCATGTGTTCCGCAATACTCATCAACCGATCCCAGTTTGCTTTCCAAATGTTACGACGGGGTATTGGTAATGATACAACAGATAAAAAAATAAATAAATAGTATACTCTCGATAAAACGAGACACACCTGTAAAGGCGTGATCAAATATGCATACAAGCATGGCTTCTTTGGAACGTTAAAACCTTGCGTTTTAATGAAAGGTATAAGAGAAACGATGTAGTCCATATGAGTGAGCATATTGTCAGGTAATAGTCAGACCAAGGGACATTATGGCGCTGTGGCGCGCAAAAATCCGTCAAAACACAAGTTGGAGGTAATTTCGCCAGGTAGTGATCCGTGAGCACAGCAGTGTAAACAAGGTTTGGTTGCAACCAACATCCATTACGAGATAGGCATGATCTGTGCTCCAACAAAGCATTCTTCATAGTAGAATTAGTTGCACAGGTTGGATGTAGAAGGCTGAGTACTGCGTCAGTGTGAACTGCTTAGCTGTGACTGTATTTAGTAGCGTGTCACATCCGCCACGTTGCAGTGTTGTTAAGCGGACATTTGTGGCTTTTTATAGGGAGAACGCTTGCCAGGCGAAAACCCACCATGTACTGGAACACTGCCGCAGGACGGCTGAAATAGTGGAGTGATCGCTGGACCCAATGAGTTCAAATACTTTAGCGGATTCGACATGTTGCTCCTTGTTCGTAAAAAGGAGATCAAGACAGCTTTCAAGTTGGCCAGCAAGCTGCCTTGTTGGTTGCAGGATATATTGCACAGCGTGCATTTCCGCATTCGAGATTGTTACTGCCAGGTAGAGCTTTATAATGCGGCCAATCAACGTGTAGAAAGTTAATTCACCAAGCAACAGAAAATTTCGGCAGTTCAAGCGCTGCTGCACTACGTCGATCCAATCACGGGAAGTGTTTGCAGGACTCCGATAAATGGCTCCCACTCTCAGTTCATTCGGCCCAACAGTAACTCTGCACCAAAGTTGTTCGCATAGGCCGTCGACACTATAATGTGTAGATATGAGTCCCCATCTCATGCTGGACTTTATATATAACAATACACCGCCATGAGCGCCCTTGGGTCGTTCGCACCGAAATGCCGTGTATCCATCGATGTGAATCTTAGAATCAGTAATATCACCGTAAAGCCATGTTTCAGTCAGACAAAATAAATCTGGGCAATGTTGCTCTACCCAGAGATGTACCTTATCAAATTTATTGGTGAGGCTGCGAACGTTCGTAAGCGCCACAGGGAGACCGGCAACTAGCTTGGGGCGCGCCATCAGCAAGACCGGCTTGTTTATCAGCTGGCGCTTCTGCAATACTCAAAAATTTACTATATGTATGTTGCTCTCGCCTTGTTGAGTTCGCCGTTTTAGTTCAATCGTAGCAGTTTGAAGGCGATTACGTTCTTCCAAAGCGAGGTCGGCACGCACATGGATTTGCAGGCCGTTTAGACGCCAAAGTCGGTACAAAAGACGCGCTGGGGTGACGTCATTTTCAAAAACAATTCGCAACGGACGAGGCATGTTTGCTGTTCGTTTTCCCACGCGTACTACTCGTTTTATAGCAATACCTAGCTCATCGGGGTCCAGGAGTTTATCAAACAAATTTTGTAAGAACGCGACATAATGCTCATAACGAATTCGCGGGTCAGCACTCTCTGACTCCGGGGCATGAAAGATCATCAGACAATGGTTACGAGGATGGATCAGACCAGTTTCGGACAATACGGCCGGCCGCGTAACGATGCTCGGAGTCAAAACTGGAGGTATCTTTCCCGCAACAATCCATGATGACTCGTTTCTGGTTCCATGATCGGCGACTGTAGCAGGAGGTGACTCATCAGAGATCCGTAGTGTTTGCTCCGGTTTACCAGTTGATAAAATCCAGCTGCATGGAGGAACTGTGGGCAACGTAATCAGGTTGTCGGGGGGGACAGGTGCGACACAGGTCTTCTGCTTGGTTGGTCGTATTCTTTGGATGTTCGTCGTTTTGGTGACTCATCTGATTACTATTTGAACCTGTAGCAATTGCAAATAATTTGCTTATTTTTCATTTTTACGTTTACCTATTTCGCTGTGGTTGTTGTACAGCTTTGTTTTAATCAACTATATATACATACTCTTGGTTTCGAGCTCGTCTTCCGTGGTTCTACCTTGGTTGCCACTGGATTATTGTGATTGTGCGCGTCGCTACCTGCTCTATTCACGATCGGACTCTACGTAAACGTGCACTTTCGACATACCTCTCGGTATACGATCTTCCGACGCTTAGGCGCATCACAGTATACACACCCCGGTAGTGGCCATTGCACACTCAATGCTATTAAATGCACCTTTGCTTCGAAGTGCATCCAGTTACTCGGGTATCAAATTTCCTTGGACCTGGTTAAGCTTGATCCTGCACGATTCGCAGCGCTTCTAGAAATGCAGCCCCCGCACGACTTAAAAGCCCAGCAGCACATTGTGGGTACGTTTGCCTACTACTCAATGGATTTCTCATTTTTCTGATAAAATTTAGCTTTTGATCCACAACAGATCTTTCCCATCCCCGGATGGAGTGGTTAATACATTCCAAAATTTGATGGAGTTAAAGGATACAGCAGTGGTTACAATTGCTCCAAAAGAACCATTTGTCCACGAAACGGATGCGCCGGACATCGCCATTGCCGCCAAACGATGACTTGATCGATAGGAATGAAGGTCCTCATTTCTAAGCTGGCCTCAATTGGAGCGTCTCTGCTCCCTTGTTGGGGTCCGAAGGACAATGAATACGTTTGGTTGGATACACTTGTTGATATGGGTTTCTCGGTGTTACTTTCAGGAAACTGACTAGATTGGGTAACGTCCCAGTTAACGCCCCAAACCCTCGACCGCGCTTACTTCAGGTAGTCCTATCCACTCCGGATGAACGCAACGCGCTGTTGCGGTTTGCCTTCAAGTTAAAGTGTAATAATGTTAAGGTTTAGCCAGACCTCCCATTAGCGGATAGGCTGAAGCTAAAAGAGACCATTAAGGACCTCAAAACCAGGCAACCGGCCGGTGAATAACGTCTCCGGTTGGTGGGTATTCGGATGGTCAGCCGGCGTCTCTTTCCGCCCTACCAGTGCCAGTACTGTGAGCGCAAGACCCAGGGCTGGACATTACGAGTACTTTCCGGCAGTGCTAAGCAATGTGCGCAGCCTAAGGAATAAGATGTGCGAGATAGGTCTGCTTGTAGATGAGTCACATCCCGATATACTTGCGTTCACTGAAACGTGGCTGTCTCGGGACATCACGGACGGTAGTACATCTGTCGGACTACGCACTATTTAGATGTGACCGCTTCGTTGATCGACAAAGTGGGGGCGTTGCGCTTTACGTTACCTGTGGACTTGACGTTTCACGTACCTACGTTTTTCAGTCGGTAGATAAAACTGTCGAAGCTCTGTCGGTAGTGATTAACACTTCCTCAGCTCAACTTAAAGATGTACTTGTGTATAGAGGCCCTTGGAATGCGTCCAAAGAGGTGCTTGATTTTATTCGCTCCCAAGCCGCAAACAGGTGTTTGATACTGGGGGATTTCAATCTACCAGAAGTTTGCTGGGCAGATCTTGCTTGCAACTCGGCAGAACATAATTTCGAGGCAGATCTACTTGAGCTTACGCTACAAGCACCGTTGCATAAGTTCATGGACCTCCCTGCTAGTTACATGGACACCCAACTCCCGTCTATCTTGCATCTAGTGTTTGCCAAGCAACTAGAATCCGTACGTGACATCACTTACAGCTCTCCCTTAGGTGTCATTGATCATGTTTGTTTATCGTTCAGGTGTAGTCTGACCAGGCGTCACCAGAGCATTGCTAAGCCATTTC